CCCATTAGTGTGGCCTTTTTAAAGATGAATGTGTCTACCAAGACAATGTTTCTTATTGTCTGGTAAAATTTATCTCAAGTCAATGAACATGACTCAATTGCTTAGCAAAACTTTTTATCAGTCAGTGTACACTGAAGGCAAACCAATCTGACAACAAACCAGTGGAGAAAAACCTACACCCTTCCAACAACACACCAACTTCTATACTATCACAACTTCAATACTCTTCGCCATATATAACATTTGCAGGCATTATTTTCCAGATTTTCGGAAAAGCCGCTATTCTTAGCAATTATCACGTACTCATACCTGAGATGAAAAGATCTGTGTATTATGCCATGGTTAACACCAGAGGCGTCTCGTTAGCGCAAGCAAGGCAAGCAGTGCTTGCCAGACAGTTTACTGACAATGTTATATTTAAAATAAATATTAAATTCTAACTTATATTTACTTTAAGGTAACTTTTCTCTCATGCAGTGCACATTCTAGCCGCAGGCAGTTGGTGTCGTGTAGTTTACAGTAACTAGATCGGCACGTGGGCAAGTACGCGCGCACAACACGAATCGTATTGTTTTTATTTAATATAGTTTTGGTGCATATTCGTGCGCTATGTATACCATACATAAAAATGGTAAAGTCACCGTGTGAGACTGAGAATCGTGTAGATAGAATGAGTGCAACAGAAACATGTGGATGTAAGTGTGGTGTGTGTGGATTACGAGTGAAGCATTTTCCCAGCAGTGCTTTCATTTTTCAGGAAAGATGTGACATCATAAAAGAGGGTAGGCCGACACCTGAACTTACGCGCACAACATGCAAGAAAGGGAATTTTGTTCGTAATTTTCAAAAATGTTTATCAGAAAAACTCGTGGTTAGCTGGATGTAACAGCCCAAAACGAATTATCATTTTTCGTGTCTACACTTCTGTACAAACAAAATTGCTCCTATGTAAATACCTCACTGTCGACGGGTATTAAAATAATATTGATTTTGAGTGGACAAGGTTCTGGGTTTGATGAAGGTATCTTTGTAATATTTTTCACTCGTGCAAATTTTATGTTAAAAAATATTAATATTTTTACAAGAGGTGTATTTTATATTGAGGTACGAAAAAATGTTTAAATGGCACGATTTTGCACCTTGAAATCCGAATTTTCCCGGGGGAGGGCCCCCGGACCCCCCTCCCTTTTTATGGGGGAGATCAATGCCACTACTACCACTCACACGCTTGCCCATAAAATCTTAGCACGCATCGCCACTGGTTAACACACACTTAACATGCTGTACTTGGAAACGATATGGGGGCATACTTTTACAAAAATCTCGAAGCTCTGTAAAATAGAGCGGTTAGAGAACTACACAGTTTTTATCCTTTTGCACCTACAAAATTTGATATACCCCTCTTCATATATTCTCCCTGTGTCATAATCCAGTATCACTAAAGTTATGTTTTCAAGGTTTAACGCGCGCGCATACAGCAATAGTATGAAATTGATTACAAATTAAAATTTGCATAAATATTACACGAAACACAGTAAAAATATTCATATTCACACATACAGGAACTGGTGGATTTAAATATTTATCAAAAGCTACAATATTTTCCCTCCAACAATAAAAATATTGTGACCAAACAATCGTTCCTAAACATTGTAAAAAGTTATTACCATAAGAAATTCCTAAAGCCGTAAATATTTTATTTATATTGTCTTGGCATAAATGGTGTTACATGCCTAATTAGTGGTCTTGTTATCACAAAGGTAATTTTTATCTTAGTCATTATTGTTTATGCTAGCTATAAACATTGCGCACTGTATTCGTTTATTTGCCAACCAAATTATGTTATTCCTGTTACAGATCTGTTTAACGGTTTCGTGTGTCTCTTGTGAATTTGTCAATGTCTACATGCAATTCTCAATTCTCTCCTGGGGCCCATTTCAGAAAACAAGTCTACATGTTACAAGTGAAACAACTTGTAACTCGAGGGTAGTAAAATATTTCTGTTTCACAAACCTACAAGCATTTACTATATCTATAAGTCAATTTTTAAAAGTTACAGGTGAGTTTTTGAATAGTTACAAGTAGTTCAGTTTCACGAATGTACAAGCCTGTCCGAAATACTTGTAAAACTATCATTTTCCTACAAGAATGGAGAGACGGGTAGAAATTTCTACAGGCTTGTTTGGAGCCTAATATAAATGGAATTTCTCATACTTTGTTTTTGTGATTTATAAACAGAACTGTTTAGTAGCGAATCAGAAGAAGATTAAAACAAGCATATAATGAACTTGGGTATCAGGGACGTCAAAGAACATTTAGGTTAAGAGTGAATATGTATTTTATTTTGTGTATATACATATAATGGCTTCACTAACAGCTGCCTAAACTCTGGATAGAATTATGTGATCCTGCGTTTTTGCAGTCGTCAGTGAAATGTGAATAATATTACATATGGTAAACTCTGGTTAGTCCGTGATAATTTAGAAATTTTTAATTTAAAAATGAGAATTGAACAATTTAAAATTTTAATTGAGACGGTCTTGGTAAGTTTGGCTTTAATGGAAACAACCATTAGGCTATCAGATTTTTCTAAAATACTTTAAAGTAAAAAATAATATAAATATTTATTTTGAAACATACTGGTAAGTCTGTGATAGCTCTGTTTAGTCCGTGATACCACTCTGTTAAGTCAGTCCGTGATAGGTCAGTTTCAGTATGTGACATAGTGTATTTGCTTGAAATGATTTCACTCGCTGTCAGTATCACTTGCACATCCATTACACATAAATACTACGTCACTGGTAACATTTTGGCATGCACAGTGATACCAAACACTACAAAAAGTATACTGAACCCATTCAGCACCATTTTTGCGACATTTTCATTGTAGCTTCTTCCACAAGATCCGCAAAATCAGTCTTCCTTGTATTTTACCTTCTTGATATTTATTTGTTTTCTTTTGCTTGGACGAGTTTGCTTCAGAGGCAAAACTTTTTGATGAGAAATTGTGGCATCTGGAGTTGGATTGTAGCTTGTGGCATCCTGTGCTGATGAAGGCCCAGCTTGCGAAGTTGGAGAGATCATCTTTGCCTTAGGATCTCTTTTTGGGGTAACTAGTTCTTGATTAGGCTGGGGTAGTTGAAAAATGGGCTTTTATATGGTGTTTCCATCATTGGTGGGTTGCTGGTGTGCCTGTGGTCACTCTGTCACCAACGAAGGAGCTATAGCTTGATCTGTGATGGCACATCTGTCGATGGGAAAAATTCCCATCTTCCGAAAGCTGTTAATTGTAGTCTGTGGAATGAAAGTGGAGAGCCAGGCTGGAGTAAGCAAGCTATTGAAATCAACTCTGCATGGTTTCTCACCTGGATGTGAATGCATGAATGCAATTGCTCTTTAAGGGTTTGTACAGCCCAACATCCAGTGGCTGGAGAAGGTGCATAGTGTGAGAAGGAAAAGTACCAATATGAATATCATTCTTGGCTGCAAGCTCCAGAATCTTGGAATTTAAGTGACTGGGATGACTGTCCATCAACAAAATAACTGGTCTTTGTGGAGGAATGTTGACCAAGAAATGACTGAACCATTCAAGGAAAAAATCAGTGTTGATCCAGCCATTTTTCGACATTTTTCAACCTGGAATCAAGTTCTCAACCAAACCGTCAACCATCCGAACACCTTTAAAAATTATGAGTGGAGGAACTGACTGTCCAGATGCGCTTACACATCCCAGCACAGTTTTTGTGATACCTCTTTCTGCTTAGGTCTGTTTATACGCATATTTTTTACGCACAACAGTTGCCACTTTGTTTGGCTTCAGAACATAGGTGAGACCCGTCTCATCAACATTCCAAAATTGACTTGGCAAATGTGTCACCTGCAAGGATTTGACAAGATTTTCCAACTTCGTGTAAAAGTTATTTAAAATTTCTCTGTTTGCAGTTGATGCTCTGTACAGCGCAAGGTTTTCTCGTTGCCTAAGTGTAAGTCCATAACGGCTTTGAAGTTCACCAACCAAAACCAACCTGCCATTTCTTTGGTCTTGTTAAATGGATGTTGGGATCCAGACTGTTCTGCTGACTTGTAGGAAAGGTGTCGTATTTGTTTTACTGTCAGATCGAAACTAAGCTCCTAAATTTTGACAATATAGCTTACAAGCTCCACCTCAAGTTCACTGCTCATTCCTAACGGTTTCCCAATTCTACCAAGTTTCGCATTTGTCAGATCTGTATGGTTTGTTTCAGTTGGCAAATACTTTGAAACATAATCCTTCAGCGTCGACCATGGGATAGAGTAGTGTTTACTTGCTTTGTAAATAGACCAATTTTCAACTTCGATTTTATGAAGGACAGTCTGCATGCTGAGGGATGCATAGTCACGCTCTTTTGGCCCACACTTATTTTCTTTGTTACCAGAATATATATATATATATATATATATATATAATATATATATATATATATATATATATATATATATATAAGGCATCTCTGAAATAATATTCATTAATGTCAGTTTATGCAGGCATTTTAAACAAACTAAGAACAACAAAACATGCCTAAATAGTATATAACAAGCCATATGATATCATTTTTTGAATGATTAGGTGAACAGCCCGAATGCAGATTTTGATATATGGCCTAGCCTAGTAATTGTAGGCCTATCCAAATAGTTTCCTGAAGCCTTAGTAAATTACTTTTCAAGCAGATCCACACACTACTCAATTTTGAGTCGCAAACAAAAATTGTCCATGACTTCCACCTGCAAAAAAGTTCGCCCACGTCCCCAGACAATGATAGCATATATGAAAATGTTTCCTAAAAACTGTAGCATAGATAGGCCTACTATGAATGCACTATATAACGGCGACACAGCCAAGCTGGACAGGTCGGAAGATTCCATAGTGGCTACCATTGGAAATGAAGGTGCAACACAAACATCTAGTTGTGAACCCGAATCAGATATTTCCATAAAATAAAATTACGAAAGAAAAAAAACCTCTACTTGAGGAGGATTTGAACCTAAGCCCTCCAATTAAGAGGTTGAAATGCCAACCACTGCTCTACTAAGGACAATGCGTTTACTGATTCTCCCTTTAATTATTATTGCACAATTTATTTCACAATGTGTAGTTAAGCCTATTAATTTTTTTAATAAGGGCCTTAAACCGTAGATGTTGGGGGCTTACTGGCTCTAAGAGGCTTACAACATTATATAGTAAAATAAACGCCATAAAATACGATTTGAGTGCGTAAACTTGTTTCGGTTTTATTTTTAAAGACACGCTAACTTAAACGCGGGCTCAGGCAGATTTTGCAAAAAAAATAAGATTTTAGCTACATTTTATAAGCATCCAAAGTTCTCATAACTTTGTGTGACGTAAAGTTACCATACGGCATTGTCACAGTACGATTTCACAATCGCTTACCTGTATTTTCAGCGTAATATGTATATTCTGGAACAATATACACCCATTAACATACAACTGATTAAGTCTGCTCCAAAATTACACCTTTATATCTCGTAACGAAGTACTTTCATTTCCGTTTCTTCATGTCACTGTGAAGCTATCAGGCTGGCTCCGGTACCCACGTAAACTGGAACTTCCGCGCTGTATACTAGCGTTTAGTTGAACTCGAACAGCTCTGTTTGGTCCGAGCTAGAAACAAACGAAAAAGTATCACGGAGTTACCAGTATCACGGACTAACTAGAGTTTACCCTAATTCCTGTTCACTTTCACTTCTCCACGCTCAAATAATTTGGCAATGTCAATTCTTCTCAGCCACTCTTTGTACATTTTCTCGCCGTGAATACGCTGTTGAAGTTGTCTACTAGTCGGTTACAAGTGAGCGGCCATACTGGAGACACCCGACCATACTGGAGACACCCGACCAATTTGTTTACATTGAATAGCCTTGCGAGTGCTATAGCAACTCACTAGTTGCCTGAATTTTTTCTAAGTTTGTGTTATTCTTGCGTTTTTGAAAGTGTGAATTTGGCATGCAAACACGCTTAAGAAGGGAGAGTTGAGAGAGGTTTAGGTGGTTTGTAACAACCAAGGAGTTGAGAGCCAATGAGAGTGAAATATGGCAGATGTGGAACAGCACCGAAATGCAAGGGTGGGGAAAACAGGAAAACCTCGAGAAAACATGCCAGCCAGAAGCATCAATCCATGTGAAAATCTGTAAGTAACCTCACAGGGAAACAACGATGGATCACATTGGTGGAAGGTGGGCGTCCTACCACTACGCCCATCGCAGCCACCCCTTAGTAAGGGAGGATAGGAACCTAATTTTTTCGATTATATTTGGGTAAAGTCAATTACACTGTTTAATTATTTTTTTTATTGTAACAATTGATATAATTCTCTACCAGTATATCATTGATCTGATTTCTGAATAGGCGAGACAGTTTTTGCAAATCAGCATTTAATTTTTTATAATTATACTTGTTTCTTTCTTAGGTACCAGTACATACTGGAAGATGTCAAATATAATAAATTGGTTGCAATGTGCCTACATACATGTATACATAGAACACTAAGAGATGGGATTTACAGAAAATAAAATTGAATTAAAGAAAATTATATAGAGTAGACATGTATTGCTGGAAGTAGCATTTGAAAAATTTCGCAGTAGACCTAGGTACCCAATTTTAAAGCAGTGGTAAGTATTTTGACAGGTTGATGATAATGTTTACAATAGTGCCATATAAAACAAATAGTAAATTTTTTTGGATATACACTGTTGTAGTAGAGTTTTGTTGCAAAAAACTAGAATTACACATTCAAACACATAAAATCAAACAGCAATAGTTGTCAACAGGTACATGAACACACAGAATTCTGCAGAAGGAATTGTTTAGTTGCAAAAATACCACTGTGTTTGTCTCTTTTAGTTGTGTCCATCATTACTTTCTTGTTTTGTTGATTTGCTGCTTACTAACTGAACTTCTTCCACAGATTTATCTGTGTTCTTCACTTAGGCCTACCCATTGGAAACTATTCTGGTTGGTTTTCTGTGTCTGTATGTTCGTATGTGCAATTCTAGTTTCATGCGATATGAATTCTGCTGCAAAGGCAAGTGTCCAACACAATTTCTCATCTAATTTAATATAAGTATAATGTTCATATAGGCCTACATTAATTATAAAGTATATAAAATTTTAGCTAAAGGGAAATCTGTTCACAAGAATCAGTATTTTAGTTAAATAAGCATAAATCATAGCAACTCGTAATCGTAAGAAAACATGGCAAAAATGTCATATTTCGCATGTGTAATAACCCCAATAGTTAGAAATGCTGGATTCATCAGCTGATTCCATAGTCATTCGATTTAAAAGAAACTAATTTCTTTATTTGTATCATAGTTTACACTAAGAAATTAACTTTTACAACTACTTCATTAAGAGGTCCTTCAGTAGTCCGGGAAAATAAATTAACTTGTCAACTGCGAATTTGATTGGTCATACATGTGTCACGAAAATAAAAGTAAACAAATGTGGATTTAATTACTTGCAAAGGTGAAATTAATAGTATCTAGTACTGCTTAAATATATTGTTTCTCACACAATGCAGATTTGTTTCTAAAAATGATTTCTACAGATAAAATAAACGACTGCACAAAGCCGTCTGATAAGGTAAACAAGCAGACTAACGATTGTATGTCTCCAACGCCGTGGTTGCTAGGCAACGCAACCGGAAATGACGTCGACTTCAACAACGATGCCTAGTCGAAGCAGTATCCGAACAACCGGGTACACAGCAGGGCTTTTAACTCATTTTAGTTATTTATAATCGGGACACTGCAGCAAAGCACGCAATGGCTACCTCTAATCTCGCAATTAATAACTATACGAATTTAAAAATCAAACCACACAAAACCTCGTGCACGAAACAACTTCAAAAACAATGTGGTGGCCGACGTTTTCAAGTAACCAAACCATCAGTTGCTACAGCAGCGCTGTCAGCGGAAGCGCAAAGTGCCTAATCTGGTTTCAGTTTGTTCCTATACAGTCCCAACCCCCTGATGTAGGCCTACTCTTTGTCCCTCTTTGTTTATCACACACAGGGGAGAGAGAACAGATGTTTCTCGGAATCCCAAAAAAAATGGACAACCAATATTATTGTTCCAGCAAACAAAAAAGGGAATTTTAATCATTTTTTAAATACCCCAGATTTTCCCCCAAAGTGCAAGTAATAACCCTATAAATATCGCTAATCGGAAAATCAAAATTTTGTCCCCAACATGATCATCAAATTCCCTAGATTAAGCCACTTTTCCCCAAGTTGGCAACACTGTAACTAAGGCACACAGTAAAGACAAGAAATGGTTTGGCGGCCCCTTTGATGTGTGCGAACCCAGTGGTGAAGTGTTGCAAGGTGAGCTTGTGCTTGCTCAGTACTGTACACACTCGGCGCACGCAGTAGAAATCAGTAAGCAGAGTGGAGGCGGTAGAAACTGAATGTACTGCGGCCACTCACGAGAGAGTGGTGAGGCACCCATTACACACGTGCTGTGACGTCAATTGCACTACTACGTTTAAGTGGCCGATGTGTAAACTAGCAAACGATTACGTGTAGCACAGAGCAAAACACAGCTTATCGTGCAACAGTTCGCCACACGTCGATGAGCGGAGTTGAGAAATTTGGGCGGCTTTTAACAACGAGGTCTTGAGAGCCGATGAGGGTGAGGTGAGGTGAGTATGTCGGAATGCAAGGGCGGGGGAAACTGGAGATCCCCGAGAAAACCCGCCTACCAGTGGCATCGTCCGGCACGATTCCCACATGTGAAAATCCGGAGCAACCCCGCTGAAAATGATCACTTGATCGCAGCAACCAATAAGCAAACGATAGTGCCTCGAGTGTGTAGAGGAATTCCAATTCTAACATGCTGCCATATCAATCCGCGAAATAATCGGGGCTCTACTTATTCGCTACTGCGTGCTACGAAATGTTCCCTTTTGGATGAGCTAGGTCAGTTACCAGGCGCTGGTATGTGAACGGCGTTCCACAGTGGCGCCATTTTGTTGGCGTGTGCATCTGGAGTTCGCGGTATAAACGGCTGTTTCACACCTGTACTCGTAAGTATTCTCTGACCAGAGGGCCTGCTGTTAGCTCTTTCAGGCCAGGGGCGTACGCTAGGGGAGGGATGATGGTGACAATGCACCCCCTCCCACACCTCCTCAGATGAAAAAAAAATAGTTTCTGAGTAGTTATCGTAGCATAACATTGTCGGATTGGAAAGCAACGTCTTTGCTTTGGTGGCCTTACATGAAGAAAATGTGTAAATATAGGATTTTAATTTTTACAATCAAAATGTTGTGCCAGCTGAATAAAAATTAGAGAAGTTTATGGAATGTTTTTTATAAACATATGTGCACAGTTTGGCTAAAAATTAAATTAGTGTTGGATGAACACACTTGATTTTCTCATGAAATAAGCTTAATTACTGCTGCGTTTTAATCTTGAAAGGGACTTTGTATGTGGCCGTTACCTAGTCTAATTTTTATACCGATTTCCCCTCCCTCTACCACAAAAAGAAAGTATTTTTCCAGTACTTTCGATCGCTCGCTGAGATAAAAGGGCGTTCGTACGAAATAGTTTCACGCATGCATGAAAGGTGTACTTTAAGGGTTGCAGTGAACAAATATTTGGTTTGGAACTGTACTGGTGTCAGTATATCGCTATATCATATGTCGGGACCGCCGTCATAAAAGACACGTCTGGATACTCCCCTATCAAACAATGTTTGCGAATTGACCTCTTATTGACTGATCTAGTTTATGCAGTAGCCGCAGAGCGCTGCAAGCGAACTAGTGTTGTTTTTGCATTTCTGGAATAGAGATAATGCCGGTTTTTGTCGTTTAAATGTCAAGTTAAAAATTGAAAAACGTTATGGGAACTTTAAGTAAATGGCAAATACTATTACATTAACGTACAAATATGGAAAACTACGTCGAGCTCTATGTTCGTGCAAATATAACTGTTTTGAATTGAGCTCGTTAAGCTATCGTAAATTTATTGCTCGCGTATTTTCCTTTACTAAAAAAGTGGACAGCTGTATCGCGTTG